ACCTCGGCTTTTCAGTATACTTAAGTTTCAAAATACTTCAGTTTTGCACCTCAAAATCTTTGCTTTTAGCCTCTTTACAATCTGTTTCCCTTTTGCCATAGAAATGGAAGTTTAGGGAAAATTTTTTCCCTTCAATTTGCCTACTAGATCTCCAGAGTAATGTTTGTTCAGTAAATAAAGGATGAATACATGAGTCAGAGAGGATTAAATATTGCATTCAAATCACCTCCAAAGATTGGATACATTTCCTCCTAGTGGCTCAAAAGGTTTGGATTTCCTTTTAAAAGCCTTGAAATGAGTACCTTATTTTTAAAAAGATCAAGTATCCTTTTTATAAAAAGGATTGTCTTTATTAAAAAAAAATCTCTGAAAAGCCTTTTGTGTCTACGTGTATTAAAATATATATTTATATTTATAGTTGTATAAATATATATATAAAAATACATATGCCAAGAACTTCCTAATTCCAGTCCATAAGACCATATAATGCCAACCTAGGGACCCTGGGCACGGCCCTGGACGTAGGGAATGTTTACTATCCCAGTGAAGTGGTGGCTCTTGGGTTTTTTCAGTTAATGGATTACATATTAGGGCAAAGGCCCTAAATGCCACCCTCTTCTTCTCTTCCCTTTTCCACAATAAATCACCTCCCCACACCTAAAGTGACAAAAGGTTGATGCTTTTGATCGGACACTAAGCCCATTCATTCCTGCAGTGGGTGCTTGCTGAGCCCTTGCTAAGGTGCAGGACCTGGCTAGGTCCCAGCGGTGCTGAGACTACCCTGAGAAGCAGGGAAATCCAAGGCCCCTAATCATTTCTTCAAGCTCAGTTAAACCCAGAATCACACTGATTATAGAGACAGAATGATTTTCAGGGGAGACCGTGTGATGGCAGAAGTGTGGGTCTCTGTCCACATGTTGAAAATTTTTGCTGGGCTGTTTGCCAGATAAGAAGCCTTGTTTGGCTCTCTTTATAGGCTGCAGTTTTGTTCCTATGGAAAACTAAATAGAACCATATTTTATTTGGGTCTATTCAGAAACTGTAGTTTTGTTCTTAGTAAAGATTAACTAGAACTTTCCACTCAAGCTGCAGTAGAGCCCTTACGTTATCTGAGCTCTGCTGGCCACTTTTCCTACCTTTGATTTGAAGATTTTCCCCCTAAAACAACTATATTGTATGTTTTGTTAAATCAGCACTTTACAAGGTCACAAACAGTAAAATTGTCTTTACTCAAAAACTCTTAACTTTAAAATTCACGACACACACCAAGTTGGTTTTCTTTTCCAAGTGCGTCTGTGTTAGAATAAGGACACTTGCTTCTTTTCAAAGAATTCTAAAAAATTCAATATTTACTATACTATCAAAGAATAGTATTTATTAGGCCATTTCATTTCCTGAGTAGGAAAGACTTAATAGCAGGCCTGCACAGTTTAGGTAAATCACTTTCACCTTCATAGATCATGTTATATGCTCATTTATGTATGAAGAATAAGAAGTCTTAATTTTCCATGAAAAAAGCTCATATAAACGCACAGAAAAGGATACTCAGGCTATTTAAAAATAAGGTTCTCATTTCAAGGTGTACATTTGTTTAGATTATTTTAGCTATGTGGATGCACTTATACATTTTTTTCTAGAATATTTAAAGAAATAGTTGGAATAAGAACTAATCATTGCACCTGATTTTTTTTTTTTTTTGTAGTTGTAGCTGAAGCAGTTTGACTGTTTTTGCTGCTCCTTCTCCCCGTAATAAACTGTTATTTTATAAAGCATCCAGTATTTCTATTTAGTTATTTCTGGGAGTTTGTCTTCCTAGTAAAAGTCAGGCTCCTTGAACTAAGGGAACATGTCTTTAATATTTGTTATTTCATGATAGTGCCTGTTAGGTCTTGGGCATAGAGAATTCGATTGTAAAATACAGAATTGCACTGAAGTTCAGAGGGAATTGCTATTTCCTAGTTAAAAAAAGACAAGTCTGAGATGTCATTGCACGAGGCTAACTGGCTGTTCAGTGTGGGTCTTGGAATGCCAATCAAGAATGAAAACCACCAGTCAGGAGAACTGTAGTATTTCTCATCAGCACAGGTCTGTTCTACCACAACACTATATGAGAAGCTATCTTAAAATCAGAAGGTGACCTCTTGAGCATGAAATCAGAGCAGGCAGTGTTGCCAGATGAGCTAACTGACTGTTGTCAGTCATCAAGGGAGGGTCAGACTGATGCGCGTCAGTCTCTGTGTAAACAAGGGACTGCTTTCTACGAGGATGGAATTGTATGGAGGGGAGGTGGGGAGGCCTTTCTTGTGCATGGTCCTGTATAGGTGTTACCTGATTTTTGCCTCTCTACTTTCTTATTTCAGGCTTCATGCAAAATGATGCATCTCTTCCATTAACCTAGTATTTCTTCATGCAGGTTAGAGTTTAACTGATTTGGCCTCAGCTTTAGTTAATGCTATTTTGATGATCCTCTTAAATCCCCACCTTTTAATTCGAATTTGAGGGTGAGTACTTACTAGAACAACTCAGGCAATTCTCAGATTAAAACTTCGATTAGGTTATTTCTAATTTATGCACTGTATTGCTCCACAGTTTCTTTCCAGGAATCTGCTTTCTGCCTTGTTTTGGCTACATCTAGATTTACAGAATAGAAAGATACATTCAGGATTGTTAATCTAGCATTGACACAGGCGTAAGATTTACAGGCACCCTAGCAAACAATTCCACAGAGGGAAGAGGAACCCCCCATGTAAAAGCTGATGAGGGGATACGTGTGTGTAGGTTATTTTCTAAAATACCTCATGCAGTAAACAAAAATAGTTTTCTACAAATAAGTACAGTTATGTTTGGCTTTCCTAGTTCTCTCTTCATTTGTAGGCATTATCTCTCTTCATGTTAGTCTATGTACAGGAATTTTATTTTATACTCTAGTGGCTCAACTGATAGATAAAAAAGGAGGCCTTCCACATTTCCAGCGCTCACAGGAAAGTAAGTCATTTCTTCTGGATGTCTCCAAACAGTGTGGAATTTTGTAAAGAGCAGGGAAAGGACTGACTCCGTTGGACCATTCTCTACCAGGCTGTGTGCTTTTATTCACTTACCTAATGTCTCTGAGCCTCAGTGGAGTTTTTCTCTTTCTTCTTTTTTTTAAAAAATAAAACATCCTTTGCAATAATTATTTCATTTTACTTAACATGAATGTGCTTTGTATCTAATAGAAGTTAGGAAGGTAAAAATTCTACATTCTGATCATCAATCCAAACTTTATGATGCATTTGATATTCATTGGTCTTTCGCTGTGTATCGTGTAAGAATATTTGCCTTGTCCAAAATTTTTTTTTCACATGTTTGAATAAAGTCTATTCTAGTCACATGAACAAAGTATAGATTGAAATCACATTGTTTTCTTTTAAATATGTGTTTACCATAGTTTTTGGAGTCCCAACCACACTACAGTATTTTGTGGTCATCCCTCTTTGATTTTTATGAACTCTGAAATCTGAAAGAGCTGAATTATATTTTTTTATGACAATGAGCAAAAAATTGGAGATACAAAAGAGTTGGGGAATCACCACATGAGGGGAGAAGTACCTTTGTAAATACATATCACAGTAATTTCTCAAGTGGAAATGTTTTCATTTGCTGTTTACCAACCCTTGTTGGAGTTAGATGGGGTCTGCACTGGTGGCAGAGGATTATTTTAATTTGATTTCTGATGAGTGGTTTTGAAGCTGACTTAATTCCAAATGTAAATTATGTCTGATGTTTTCCCTTATTTCCAGGAATATTTCAAGATAATGTCTCCTTTTCTGTGTGTGTTGCATTTTTCTGTTGACTATGTTTTTATTTTCTTAGCACCCAGTGATTCCATGGAAGCAGTAACTTGAGAACCTGAAGTGAGAAAGGATTTCAGATTGAAATGAAACAAGGCTTTTCAAATATCGAGGGCAGTACAGATAAATGCACATGAGGAATGGTTCTGGTGGGGCAGTAGGACAGCTTAAACACGAGACTTTTATTATAAGTATTAACCATAGAAATGTGACTTAACTATTACAAATTACTACCAATTAGTGGGAGATGTATATGAAGCACAAATTTAGCTTTAGAACCGTCAAGTCATCATTCGAGATAACCAAGTTTTTCAGACAAGGATATGGCTTCAAATCACAACTTTTTAGGGAAAAAAAATCAGTTTTAGATGGACCTTTTCCTAACTGACTGCTTTATTAATCAGAGCATGTTGAACTTGACTTTTTTCAATTCCTCAGGGTTATTGTTGTGAGCATAAAGTATAGGACGGCATTACTCTGACTGAAGGTAACAGGACACCCCAATTCCAAAGGAATCCAGATTTTCACACTTTCTGATTCAACATTTTTATTCTGTTGTAGATGTGGACGTGTCTGTAAAATAGAATAAATAGGTGCTAATCATGACCTTGACTCCCTTTTTTAATTTTTTCCTCTCCTGAAAGAATCTGCAAGGAGTATTTGTACGTTCATCTTAAATTCCCGAAGCAGAGCAGCTGAACCTCATCAGGGCGGATGCCAGTCCAGAGAAGGCGCTGCCCTGTCCCCTTCTGATTATATGGGCTAATGTGACCACGTGCTCTGCACCCCAGTTTTGAGTTAATAACAACTCACAATCAAAAAGCATTCCTGAGTATCAACATGCTGACGGATGAAGGGATAAAAGGAAACTTAAAACAATTCTCTCCAAGAGATTTTACTCGTAGAATCCGGAGTCTTGTTATTGGCTCACTGCAGTGCAAGACTGAGCAATTAAGTCCCCCCGTTCCCCTGAACTAGTCGTGTTCAGTCTGAATATGTACAAGCAGATCTTCAGCAAATTTTTATTCAGTTTTATGTACATCTATAATATACACATATATTACATATATATAAGGCATAGACACATTTATGTATGTTCATATACATTTATATATTTATGCAAATATTTTGGCCTTGTATTCATCTATCATTTTCTGTTTTATTCAACAGAAATCTTCTTGACAGAGACACGTTTTCTAAATCTGATCCAAGTAAGTATATCTGTTACTTGCTTTTTGAAATTGTACTTACTTCATCTACTTGCTTTTGCAAAAAGTGCATGAAACTCACAGGTCTTGTTTAAATATTTGTTTTGAAGCCTGGAGAGAAGGGAGACGATCTCTAGCCCTACACTGTCGTCTGGCTGGGCCGTATTCTGCCTCAGGAGAGGGAGTTGCTTCGCATTGTGCAGTTGATTTTGGGACAGTTCACTTTGAAATAAAACCACATGGTGTGCCACGTAGTAGAAACTGTATTTGAAGGACAACCATTATGAACCATAATTTAAGAGATTTAATCAGAAACTAACACTTTTCCTTTTGTAAATCAAAGCAGTATGTAATGGCATGTACCATGAAGTGAAATATAGAATATCTTGGGACAGCTGGATTGTTTGATTCCTAATTATAGAATATTGAAAATTGGAGATTACTTGTAAAACAAAAAAGATTGAATTAGAAAGCAGCAGAATTAGTGTATAAATCAACTGGTGCACCCAAACTAGTAGTATCTAGAAATTTATCTCTAGCAGCTTTTCATCTCTAGAGATGTGTGAACAAATGTGGGTTGATTATAGGGGGAAGGTTTTGTCAGGTATTAGAAGAATTCTTGAGGTAGTCATTTGGGAAAAGACATTATAATTTGTGGGTATTAAGAATTCCTGGGGCTCATTTAACTGTGGGTGGAACGTTTAGCCCCTTAATCTTCACCCTAAACCCTTAATCTGCTGTCTTGCAACTTCTTTTCATGGTTAACAGGATTTCGTACCTGTTCACAAATATGGAGGATGTGAGTTGCAAATATTAAATGTAGAGTATGATTGGCTTCAGATTGTCCTTATGGTGGTTTTGAACATTGTAGGTGTATTAGGAAGAGCTTGACTTATGCCTTATGTCTAGTAACATACTGAAATGTTTCAAATTGCTAGACTGTACTTTAAAAACTTATCTGCCTCAGCAGCATAATGAAGATGAAGATATCAGCAAGTAATTATTACCTATTTTTTGTGCGCAGCTGAATGCATATTAAGGTCTTCAAATCTGATACAGTTTTTGTTTCTTTATAAAAATTTTTAATCATTTGATGATTTCCTAGCAATTTTCTGATAAGACTAAGATTAGGAATTAATTTTGATGTAGCTTTTGGACAGCTATAAAATAAATTGTATACCCTCATATCTGATGTTTATAAAAGCCATTGATTTTTTTTTTATTTCTTTTGTAGTTTGTGTCTTATATGTACAAGGGATTGGAAATAAAGAATGGAGAGAGGTAAGAATTAAAAACCTTTGAAATACCACTGTGCTGGGAGATACGGTCTCAGTTATAATTCGATCAAGGTGATACTTTCCTGACTTTAGTTATTAGTCTTCTTCAACCCAAAGATTGAATTTTCTTTGTCATTTTATGAAAACACTCTTTGTATTTTATTTTGAATTATCCTCAATGTTTGGCTGATTTATGACTTTCCTATGTAATATTCTAGCCTTGAACTTGCATTCTCCTCAGTCTAAATTCAATTTAATGTGTTGCAATCCTCACATAATTGAAGTCTGTGGACTTGGTCTCACTTTTAGAGGTCAGTTGCCTATTTTCACAAAACATCACTTTAAAGGATTTGCAGTGTGGTGCCTGATCTCAACTATCACCCGATTTTTTGCCAGTTAGTAATTTATTATTTGAAAATAAAGTGGAAACTCATTTTCCTAATACAAATATACTTTGTTTAATGAAGTAAAAGCAAGGAGGCAGACATTATTATTTTAGTTAATTTATTTCCTAGAGTATCTCCACGTTCAAATGGGAGGGAAGGAAGCATGTTAAAATAAAATAACAGGCAGCCATCTGCTCGTAGTTGCTGCTTAGCCCAGGAAGGTAGCGCACTGTTTAGATGAGGTTACGGTTTCCGGCGAGATTTCCCTAGTGAGATTTGTGCTAATTATCATATATTGCTCAGCAGCCAGCCGTTTTAGCAGTGTGTCTCAACTGCGGGACAGAGGGTTAGGGCACATCACCATAATTTATTCTCAAAACTGGGAGCATAAACTGATTCAAGAGTTGCCCCTGCTGATAATGGGTCAGTGGAATACTGAGCACCAGTTTCTCATATTCATCTGCTTCTCTACATTCCCACATGGTTATTCAATATTTATCCCTAACTCTACTTATCCAAATGTGAACTCATGATCCTCCGCCTATACCTGCTTCCTCTTTTCTCCCCATACAGCTGATAACATGACCAGCCAAAATCTCCAACTGCAATTTTTACAGCCTTCCCTGATTTTCTCTCCCAGACCTTCCTTATTTAATCACTCATCAGTGATATCAATTCTCTCTCAAAAAAAAAACCCACCTCACCTCATAGGAGCCACCTTCTTTGTTCAGACCCATGTTATCTCTTGTCTTCCCTGTTGCAACATTCTCCTATCCAAGTCCATGCCTTTCTCTCTCCTGTTCCTCTGTCTAAATCATTCTTTGATTCTTTTGTTAAAAGACAGGTTGTCTCTTGTCCCTCACTCTAGAGTTCCCTTTGTCAAAGGCCTGGGACAATCCAATGGAAGTGGTGACTGATAGGAGTCAGGCCAGATGGGGATGGGCATTTACCAGGAATGCTCAGAAAATCACATTCCTTGAGGGACCAGTACAGGAACTGAGATAAGGAGCTGTAACGTGTAGGCCCAGGCATATGGCCCAATGCAAACCCCTAATGATGAGGCTTTATTATTGCCTAGGCAATAAGATATAAATTTCTTATTGTATTTACAGGGTCTTTCTTAATAACTACTAACTGCTATTCTAAGCCCTTCAGATATATTGACTAGTTTATACAGCAACCTTAAGAGATAGATGCTATTATAGTTCTTATTTTATCCAGGAGGAAACTGAAGCCCAGAGAGCTTCAGTGACATGGCCAAAGTTACCCAATTGTGAATAACAAGGTGGGGATTTCAGTCCAGGCTCTCTGACTCCTGACCACCTGTTACCAGGGCCATGTCCCTTTGCAGAATCCTTACCTGATCCCAATCTTCACATTCTGTTCCTATTAATGGAAAGACCTTTTATAAATTGATCTTTGGGGCTTAATTCTTACTTTCTTAAACTTGACTCTGAATGAAAGACAAGTAGGAGAGGAGGCCTACTATTCAGGGAAAAGGCATTATATTAAAATAAAACAGAAAATAAAGTATTTTGCCTGTTTATTTTTTCTTGAAGGAATAGAAAGAATTAGTACTCATTGAGGGTATAAAAACAAAGTAGAAATTGAGGAAGTGGTGAGAAATGGGGCCCAGAATTACAGAGAGTGGCTAGGAGCAGATGGATGAAGATGGGGAGATACCTGTTAAGAGGCAATTTCAATAGATAGCATTTCAAACGAATTAAAAGTGTTAAGAACTAGAGTCTTCTGGAAGAGTAGAAAGGAAATGCCAGATGCAAGAGACAAGCATTTTGGAGCTAAAAACCATTGTATTTAGCTGGATAAAGAAAAGGGGTAAAAAATGAAATATACTGTATGTATATTATTAAGTCTCCACAAAACCACTTGAGAAAAGCAGTTTCCTTACTTCGAGAGCCATTAGGATGCAGTGGTTAAGGGAGTACATTTGGCCTCTGTTTCCCCATTTGTAACATGGGGAGGAATGATACTAATTCCGGCTCATGACAGGGTTAAATGTGAACTGTGATACAGTGTCTGTGCGTAGCAAGCATTATATGACTAAAAATACGTTGGAACTCTAAGAGATCAAAAACTTTTATAAGGACAACAAAACTAGTTAGTATCAGTAAGTAAATTTCTGCATTATAAAATTATGTGATTTTTCATTGTAAAGCCCAGCAGTTGATGGGAAAATGACCTATGGGATTTACTTGGCTGCAAGCGTAATACAAAGCTGTGATGTTAACACAGCTGTTAAAAAGCTAATGTAATCCAAGGATGCACTGATAGGTGGGCAGTGCTTACATCAAAGAAGATAATGCTATGATGTTGAACTGCATGAAATTGTCATTTTTGTGGGTCAGAAATGGTTGAGTGGTGGCAATTTCGTATGATTCAATCAAATACTATTGTATATTGCCCTGGTGGAAGCAAATGTGGAATGTTACTTTTCAATTCTGCATTTGAGGCCATCCAAGTGCCACGTATTTGAGGAGGGCTACCATCTTAAAGAAAGGGACAGAGTTCTGTACCATATGAATGAAGGAAGGTTTAATCTGGAAAATGCAAAGACCATAACTAGTCATAATAATTGTATTCCAAACTCTTAAAAGTATTTTCACTTGGAAATGTGGGTACACTTACTTGATGTTGAACAAAAAAGAAGAAACAAAGAATCTGGCCCAAAGGCAGTTTGAATATCCTGCAGTAGAGTGGGTTCCTAGGACTGTAGGCTAGAACTGTAGGCGATGTCCTGCTACTGGAAGCATTCAAACAGGGACTGGACCGGTTGATCAGGAAAGAAACTGAACTCAGTTTGGCTCTAATTTCTTGCAAGTCTGTTATTTTATGAAGCTGCAGAGTTCAAAGGAGTATTCTAGTCATTTATGAATTCTTCCAATTATTTCACAAGATAATAATGAAAACCACTCTGATAATTACTCTCAGGGTATTTGAAATCAGACAAAAGAACATTATTGATACTTTATTAATAATTTAAAACATATCCAACCTTTTGTCAATTTGATGTATTTATTGTATTCCTACTATGAGGCTGCAGTGGTAGATCAAATTTTTAAATAGACAGTATTTCTTCCTCAAGGAGCATGTAATATAGTTGGAGAGTTTTATGAGCAACTTCAGTGTGTCTATACAATCAATTTACTGATTTAGGTATTACCACTACACTATGTCAGTAGTGTAGTTGTGTTTGAAATTTGATGTGCTTTGGAAAAGTAGGTAGTAATTAACCATAGGATTTTATTTTTTAGGTTAAATTACTTTAAGATAGTAAAGAAGAATAAACAAAGAAAGGAGAGTTTAAAATGTGTTGAAATAAATGCTGCAAATAAAGGGATAGAAAAAGTATTTACAATTAATCTATAGTTGAAATTTGCATTTCAAAATTATATCTGACACTATCAGAATTACCTGCATCTCTTCAGGAAATTCTAATGATTGTAACCTATCAAAAGCTCTTGAAGTAATTGATTTTTTTAAACTAAAATGGTATTTCACTGCATAACAGTTTTGGAATGAGAAATGATACTTAAGTGCCATGAATTATGAAAACATGAAAACCTCTTAGTGGCAAGTGGAAATAGCACAGTAACATTGGGATGCACACTTAACTTTGAGAGGTTCTGAAAATGTTGCAATTAACTTCCTTCAGTTGAATTTTAGTTATCTATAGGTAATCTATTTTGTGAGTTACTTTTAAACACTTGAAAGTTCCATTTTCCCTGTTAGTATGTGATGAAAGAAAGCAAGTGAAGTTTATATATATATATCTTTGTGGTGAGAACTTTAAAATTCTAATCTCTTAGTAGCTTTCAAATATGCAATATAATATTGTTAATTGTAGCCACAATGCTGTACACGGTCTCTCCAGAACTTACTCATCTTACTTGTCTTTCTCAGTCTGACTTAGTTCACTTAGCATATGCCTTCAGGGTTCATCCATCTGGTCACAAGTGATAGAATTTCCTTCTGTTTTTATAGCTGAAAAATAATCTATTGTTTTATATGTTTATGTGTAAATTTTTTCTTTGGAAAAATGTTTATTTGGGTCCTCCAACCATTTTTAAATTGGATTTCTTTTTGCTATTGAGTCGTATGAGTTGTTCATATATTTTGGATGCTAACCCCTTATCAGATACAAGATTTGCAGATGTTTTCTCCCATTTGGTAGGCTACCTTTTCATTGTTGATGGTGTCCTTTGCTGTGCAGAAGCTGTTCAGTTTGATGTCATCCCACTTGTTTATTTTTGCTTTTGGCATCAAATCCAAGAACTCAGCATCAAGACCAATGTTGAGCTTACCACCTATCTTTTTCTTTTTGGAGTTTTATGGTTTCAGGTCTTATTTTCAAGTCTTTAATCCATTTTGAGTTAATTTTCATGTGTGGTGTAAGATAGCAGTCGAGTTTCATTCTTCTGCATGTGGCTGTTCAGTTTTTTCACTGTTTATTGAAGAGAGTGTCATTTCTCCATTGTATGTGCTTTGCTCTTTTGTCATAGTTTAATTGACCATATATGTATGAGTTCATTTCTGGGCTCTCTATTCTGTTCATTGAGCTATGTGGCAGTTCTTAATGCCAATACCATACTGTTTTCAT